GTCGGTTAATCGGGGGTCGGATAATCGAGGCTCTACTGTAGTATAATACAAAATTATTAAACTATTCGTTCTGTCTCCTAGAACGTACAGCAGACAAACAGATGCTCCGTATTTTTTAATAACCGAAAACTAAAAGTTTTTGTTTAACACTTTCTGACATGTTTGATTGTCATAACGTGTTTACGTGATGGATTGCGTTTTAATTAAATACAGCAGTATTGCATGTTTGTAGCTCAGAGATCCATTATGCATGTAACTATAAAACAGTCTGTAACAGTCTGTTTTTGCATCATTACAGATAGAAGAGGCTACATATATGTAAAGATTAAACTAAATATAAAAAACCACCTTTCTACTGGAGTGTTTAAATCTCTTTACTAAACGTTTTTGGCTGCATTCATGAGCCTTCGTCAAGTAAATTGTATTCGAATTCGTAACAACATCGAACACTTCTTTACAAATTTAAAATGGAATAATAGCTGAAAAGTACGCGTTAACCAGAAGCAAAGGTACTGTACGTTAAAAAGCGAAGGTGAATCTTGAAAAAACAAAGGAAATGTCTAACTAAAACCCGTGACATGCCATTGGTGGTTTCAGAGAACAATTGTAGAAAGAAAAATATCATTACTATTGGTCCTTGAATTCGGGTATGTTATGGGTTTCGCATCTCCGATCGGACGTTCTAATTGGTCGTGATCTCCATCCTATACCTTTCCGGTTGGCCATGATTCCAGACAAATTCAAAGATCAAACACTGGCTAAAGATGTTTATTGAATTTGTTACGAATCCACCCGGAATTCAGAGTCAAGCATTTTTTCTCGGTTGTAAATATTACTAGTGCATTCGCGTGACATTTGGTTTTATTATACATTTTATCATCCCATTTTCGCGAACGTTAAAGGACATGTTCAATTTCCCGATCTCTCACCATATTTTATTTACTAAGAGCATTTTATTTAAAACAACGTTTTCCTTTAAAACAGATTTTGGTCGAATTTTCAGACTCTGGTCGAAACTACACAATTAACTATTTATATTTCGAAGCAACGAATCAGCTTTTTAGCATGTCACCGACTTTATTTTCAGCTTTTGATTACTAACAGGTACATTTCATTTAGTCACGATAGAGAACTATTGATTTATCTCAACACTCCTATGTTTGGAAAGTTCACTATTGTTCATAATATGATATCTATTTGTAGCTGCTGTAGTTTATCATGCTGTTGTATCGGATATGCTATTGTAGGTCTATTCTACTGTTAACTTAGATAAATAGCTTTATTTGTACTAGCCTTTGATTTTATTGTAGAATATTTAGCGTAAATTATGTAAAATTTCAATTAAAATCAATTTTGAAAAAAAATCGCTAAACTGAATATAGCTCTCTGCTACTAAATGAGTCCATCCAAACAATACATACTTGTAGCAATGACAATCTTGCTGTCTAGCAGTCATTACGAGTAGAATTACCACACTGCCAATTCACTCAGTGACAAATAAATATATATTCATACATATGTTTGTTAATGAGTGGCCTAAAAATAGCCTCCTCGCCACACATCACAGGAGTGCATTATCTATCAGCCACAGTTACCATTAAACAGCAAGTCCTAAGTAACTGAAACAAATTTTGATTATCTTGATTTATTTTTGTCATCAAGATTTATCCTAAACAAATGCTTGCCCGATTAAGCGATAATTCTATAAACCGAAATTATAAGTTAACTAAGATACCAATATGTAATAGTATTATATATTTACGTATTTACTTGAATATTTCCTTTACATGTATGATATGTAATAAAAAAGGGGCTAATGTGGTGTCCATATTTTTGTTATTTTGTAAATAAACATAACATTATTCTAAAAGTAAGCATAAAGTTCTAAAGCTTCATATTCAATTACAGATCTACAAGAAAAAGATAATACGACTTGTGAGAATGGAATATTGAAGAATGGTGAATGTAAATGCAACTTAGGTTCCGTTCATGAAAACAATAATAAAGATAAATGTGTTCGTAAGTATATAGATTATGAATACCGTCGAATCCCCTATCACACTGTTGATCAACAGTGTGATAGGGGATGTTTTTTATGAATTCCATGTTGTACGAGTCGCTTAGACTACGTGAGCCGTTCACAGCCCGGCACACGTATTTGTAAAATCTAAGTGACTCGAACAACATGGAATTCATATAAAACTGAATCATCAACAGTGTTATAGGGAGTCGACTGTATTTTAATAATATGACCGATCATTTAGATAGAGAATTTTGTACAGTAAAATAGAAATATACTAAATTTAAACCAGAAATAAAGTCACATACTAGAAAATTTACAATGAATAAATAAATAATTTCATTTTGAAAAATTGTATAAAAACAAAACGACATATTCACAAAGGTAAAACCTTGCTTTTGTCTATCTTTCCGCCTGTCTATCTTTCTGTCTAAATAATTTCAAATGCAATAATAATAAATACTTTCCTAATTAATATATTTTCGTTAAAAAAATTAAAAGATTTTTATATTGTTAATGAAATATTCACTTGTAATTATACGAAATCGTCATATGCAATTCATCACATTTAGAAAATTAATTGTAATATGACGATATTTTAACTATACATAGTTTCTGTTAAGTCAATGTAGTTCAACTCATAATTTCTTACATTGCAAATGTAATTATAAAAGATTATCTAGCACTCGGATAAATGGGACTATACAGATGTAAGCAGAAAACCAAAAAATTGAAATTGATAGTAAGTTATGTTAAAAGTGAGCTTATTGTTATGTTTTTTTAAAACAGCATATGGTCAATTAAATGTTAACCATGATAAAGCAAATTTGATCTAACTTAAGAAATTTTTATTTTACTATGAAAATAATTAAAATTCTCGTTTAGTGCCGAAAAATCAGAAAAATTACTAATTATATTGTTCAGTTTTATGTAATTAATAAAAATTTTTTTGTTAAAATTGATGCATACATTTAATTTTTAACTAGATATATGCAATAGTTCAAAAATTGAAGAAATCTGTCCAATGGGTTGTGTATCTTGGGATAAAGAAAAATTTAGATGTAATTGTACAGGAAAATACGAATACTCTAAAGATGGGAACACCTGTATAGGTAAATCATATAAATTTTAAAACTTCAATCAAGCATTTTTAAAAATATTTTAAAATGAATGACGTACCGACTATAAGTCAGGTCAATAGACTTTATAACTTGTGTAACTTGTTTTAAAGTAATTTTCAGTAATGTTTGTTACTGGAAAAATATTAATCTTATTTTTATAATTTGATTAATTAAATAATGTACATTTTAGAGAAAGCGTTGTGTGCGAAAGGTGAAATAGGAGATGTTGATTGTTCTAAGAAAAATGCACGATGTAAAGAGAATAAAAACAGTGCTGAAGGATATGAATGTAATTGTCCTGAAGGACTAAGAGAGTTAAAAAATGGAATCTGTTCAAGTATGGAAAATTAATAATGTACATTTTAGAGAAAGCGTTTTGTGCGAAAGGTGAAATTGGAGATGTTGATTGTTCTAAGAAAAATGCACGATGTGAAGTGAATAAAAACAGTGATGAAGGATATGAATGTAATTGTCCTGAAGGATTAAGGGAGTTAGAAAATGGAATCTGTTCAAGTACGGAAAATTAATAATGGGTTTCTTCTAAATATTGTAAAATAACATTTTTGAATTTTATATTATCACACCCATTTCAGGTGACTGTACATATGACGAAACGCAGGAATGTATTAAGAAAAATCTTGAATGTGAATATGATGAAAACGAAAATATCAGTAAATGCATTTGTCCACTTTCAATGGTGATGTCAACGTCAACGAATGGAGCGTGCGAATTTGGTAATTTTATAAACTAAATTATTTTTATTAACCTTGTTAATTTTTTGTACGTTGTTACACGTTTGAAACCTAGAAGCGAGACGAAATTTAAAAATACTACATTATTATACTATTTCATTATAAAACGTTTGTTTTAAACTATAATAATGTTAAAGAAAAACAATTGGCTTTAATCAAGAATCTATTTATACATTTATATTCAGGATTTCTTCGTGTTTTGTAAGGAATTTATCGCATTTTTAAAGTGTATAAATAGGTGGATTTTTACTGATATGAAAAGGATCCAAATAGTAATATGCTTCCGAAAATTTCGGTTGGCAAGATTAAAATTTTGTGTCATACATTTCATGATTTTCCTACGCACACTTAGAAAGATTGCCCACTCGTGTTCTAGATCTACACTAAAAATGGAGGTGATTGATACATGGTTGGAATTTCTCCTGTCGTGTTGTCCACAAAGCTCTTAGGCAGATTTATTTATTGTGTCATGTTTGTCATGTAACGTAATAACGTTACATGATAGTCGCGTATTTGACTGTCATATAACATTTTCAAAAAATTTTACAGAATTTTTATGCTTACTTTTATAAAAAGTATTGGATTTTTAAAATCTTTTTGAGTATTTATGAAATTTTGGAAATTTTATAAAAATTAGATTTGAACTTTTTATGAATTTCCCAANGCAAGAAACTTTAGTAAAATGTTAACACGGCAAGAATAGGTGTGACCGGAGGATTTGCGAGTTTGTGGTTTGCGAGTTGATTAATATCAAGAGTAGAGGATATTCACAAAGTGATGCTCTTGGATTTAGGGTTTCGTCGGAAAAGTTTGTTTAATAGTTTATCTTCAAACGCACAATGTTAGACGATGTCCGAGGCGAGTAGGGGGTTATCCTGTACGATTACCTCCCCTACTCGCCTCGGCACTGATACGATTAAAAATTTAGGAAATTTTTGTGGTGACGATACTCCTGCAGAAACAGGCGAAGACTAACTAAATTTGCAGTTCCTTGTTATATTCAACTGATGAAATCGAGACAATAGGTCGGAAGGTTATGAGAAAGCGTCACTTTGCTGCTGAGAACTTAACAAACGATTAACTCCCAGGTGTGAAAGTTGACAGTTAGCTGACAAAATTTTATTGTCAAAATGTTATGTCATGATTTAGTTATGTAAATAAATGACGTAGTGCAGTCTCACAGGGAGTATCATGACCAGTAGAATATACGGACCATGCTTCTACTTCGGGAATCTGGAAACGCATCTAGATGGGTCGAAAAATCCCAGGAATTTTCCGAAGTAGTCCTTCCAGGATTTGTCAGGACCATTCTCTCATCATTATCTGGCTGCCCCATTGTGAGCCTGGTCGAATCATAAAGGGAATGATAAAAAGATCCTCTTCGTGCTCATAGAGCAGAAAGAGGGCCAAGATAAAAAGAAACATTGTAATAAATTATGTAATTATAATTTTAACTAAATATATAGAAGAAAATTAAAATGTCTTCTTGATTCTGTCCTGTCTAATTACACTGGGGAACAAATGAAAGCTTTTTTTAGTACACAAATGAAAATACCTAATCCTAATAAAATTTTTATGTTGTTTTCAAATAGGTAAACAGTTTTTCTCCATTATGTCTGGATTTTTTGTGACAGCCAGTTTAAATGTAAAACATATTTATTTGGATAATATGCACACACTTATTTATTTATCTTGTCTAAAATGGCGTGATATGGAGCTTCTGCTATTTTTGGCGTTTGAAGAAGCCCTCTAGAGTGTCCGACAGTAATCAGAAAGCATTGTTGAATTTCACTGGTCCTGATACCTCTTTTCCATGATAGAGATTTCTTGATCGAAACTCTCCCCGTGTTCGTCACTGACAGTATCAAGATTGCCGGGGAAGAAATCCAAGTGGGAATACAAGAAATGCATTTTGAGATAATTATCACATTCCATACCATTGTAAGGTTTTAGGAGCCCATTCACAACTTTGCAGTAATTTGGAACTTTGTGATTACCAAAGAAATTTTGCGCAACATCTTTGGATGATTTCTATGCCGACTTTTCAACTGCGCTTAACAAGCTGTCGAATTTTTCATTTTTAATTAAAGTTCTTATTTGTGGGACCACGAAAATTCCAGTTTGATTTTAGCATTACTTATATAAGGAAACTTGTTTTTTCAAATAATGAAATCCAGCATTCTTTACATTCATTTGTTTGGAAAAGTCTTAACTTTATATAAAGTGGAGGTAGAAGAATCATGTCAGCATTGACTAATGGGACATGAAGAATATTTTTCTGACCAGGAATAGACATTTCACGTATTGCCATTCCTTCTTGACGTAATGATTTTTCTTTTTTCTTCTGTTCCGCTCAAACAAGAAACAACAAAATTAAGTATATCCAAGCTGCAAACCCATTAATAATGCACAGAATTTTAAATCAAAACATATGATCCAATTGTACTTATAAAAATAAATTTTTTCAAGTAAGAGTTTCATATTTTCCTACGTTTCTTTCATTTTAGTTGAATAAGCTAATGACACAGAAGGAAGTTTGTTTCCGTTATGTAAAAGACTAATCTTATTGTTAGACGAATCGATGAAAAGACTTCATTTCATGGTATTATGTTTATGATCAAGTGCATCCATCACAGTTGTTATGGATGTAATTTCTATGGACTTTCAGACAAGGAGCAAAATTTAAGTCTATGATTACAGAAAATTAGAGGGTGATAGAAGACTTTCAATCACATATATGAAATCAGTACAAAAAGTTCTATTAGACACGATTTCTCTCTTCTGTGTGCCAAAAATCATCTTGACCGGTGTCATCAAAAACAACATTCTCTATTTTATGTATATTTTTAAACAAGGAATTGGCTTATCGTCAGCCTACTTATAACTATTTTACATATTTGTGCAGAGGCATTAGCCTACAATAAAAAGTCTCTGCAAAGTGAAGACTTGTTCCTGATGATTAGACAGGACGGAAGCTAGAAGACATTTTAGTTTTTATTTATATTGTGACCAGAGAGTCGGCATCTCTTTAGTGTCTCGTCAGAACTGACATAACTGTGTCTTGTAGGATAGACACAGAAACCTTAATGGCCGCAAATTCGGCACGTGCGCGGGCGATCTGATTCGGGATGGAGGAGGATTGAGAGATGGCGGATCGGAAGAAGTGCACACTACTACTTAATTAGAACGAATAGTACAAGTTTATTTATTTACATCTACACACAAATACAAAAAGTAACCGAGAATTCTCTTTAGTTTTCTAGTAGCGAGTTAAAGTATCTATAGCTATATAGCGTCATTTGAGGTTAACGGATTCCTAGCCGAGAAAGAGAGCTTACAATATTACTCGCGAGGTGATAGGCGGCTTGCTTGTCGTGTCGTTGATCGAAGACCGTAGAGGTGGCATTGAGGTGGTAACGTCTCAGTCTCTTTTCCGTCGTCGAAGGGAATTCGTCGGCTTGTCAGGTTCGGGAACGGCAACAGGATCGAAACGGCGATCGAGAGATCGGAAAAAGGCGGGCGAAGCGGTCCGCGATCGAGCACTCTCGTCAGAACAAAAAGGAGTCGGATCGGCGGACTCGCGACGACCCCTCGTCCTCGAGTCACTCCTTTTTATCCTCAATCCACGTTATCCTTTTTCACCGATCGGGAACTTTTGTTATAAGTTTCCGGTGACACTTTCGACGAGTTCCCTGGGAAAGGAAACGACTCCGGAGAGAGAGATGGGATTATTCTCCGATAATAAAATCGAGAAACAAATTTTTTTGGATTCCATTTATTTCGAAAAAGGAAAAATAAACTTTCTCTAAAAATTCGTCAGGTCCGGTCTCTCACAAAAATAATTAAAATACGGTACTATGTACAGTACGTTATTACTAAATACTACAAAGTGCTGTTAATTTAGTGTAAAAATAAAATCAAGAATTCGAAATGTAAAATTATTTAACTTTAAAAATTCTTTAATATAATAATTCAATTCATATCTCCAGAAAATTCGTCTATAGACTATTATATAGGGGAGATCGGGGCAACTTCGGCATGGGGGGCAAGTTTGTCAAGCGCTTTTTTTAAAAAACAAATTAAAAGGAGACTTTGGTTATAGGTTAGGCAGTTGAGTGTAGTGTTTTTATTGTTCTCCAACAAGCGTAGTTGAATTATCAAGCAAATTTTCATTTTCGTTGAATTCCATATAATATTTTTTTCCATTTATATTGAATTGGCAGGTTTTGTCATAATTCCATGATAACGAAAGTTACTTTTCCTGTTAGAAGGATGTAACTTCAACTTATTCACGTGGCCAGATCGTGGCTTGGCATTCTGTTCTCAGGGT